TGATTTCTAGGGCATATTTCATTTTCCTGGTTTTCACTGCTAGTGTTTTGTGCTAGAAATTATGTTATGTATACCTCATCATCTCTCCCTACGTATAGTGGACAGAGGGAAAGAGAAGAACCTATCATAGTTGTAGAGCAGTAGTAACAGGAGAGTGGCAGAATAATTCTGACTCATTAAAAGTGGCTTGTAGCTAGAATTCTCAGAAGTGTTTGATATGTTTTTTGCCTCTTAGGGAAGTAAAATATCCAGCTGTATTCAGACTAACAATGAAAGTTTGACTCCGTTTATACTATATATCACCTCTGTAGTATTCCATTATGCACGTAGTTTATGATTGTAAATATGTGAAACTCATATTCAGAGATAAGTATGCACTGAAGCTGGGGGACAGAAGTGAAGAATGAGTAAGGTTAAGAGTTGGGCTTTATTGGGTGTAGTTAGAATGGTAGGGGGGATTTTATTGAGGAATACTTCAAATCCTAGCTGTTGGATGGAGAGTGGCACATGACAAGAATGAGGTGTCCAAGTTCTGGGGAATATGAATGAGAGGGCATTCTGGTGCAGGGGATAGAAACAGAGATAAAAACTCACTGGTAAGTGCACTGAAGCAGTGGGCGTTGATTAAATCACTCCAAGAAAAGAGCCGATAGAGCAAACTCAGTACTGTGAGAGGTAATTAATCTCTTATTAGAAAAATGTCACTTTAATCTTGGACGATTACTGAAACTGTATCTTTGCACATCATCTTGAGGTTTTATGATAAATATTATATATAACAAAGTTATATTAATTTATGATTAAACTAGGTTGTTAATTTTTTTGACGTTGCTTTAAGGACTAGTTGCCTAACAGACATTTTAGATGAGGATGTTCGAAAGTCTTTAAAGATAGCATTCAAACTGGCTTTGGATGCACTATTGGGCCTGTTACCACCAGCAGTTACAGTGTGCAGGGTTTCTAAAACAGAAGGGTGGCATGCAGTCTGCTAGGGCCTTTATTACACAACAATTTTGATTAACAGGTTGGGACAGGATTTTTGAGGTTAAGGTTTAAAAAAAATAATAACTTGCTCCTTTGCCTGACCAACATCTTACAGTCTAATTCAGGAGATTTCTGATCTCCAGAGCTCCCAAATCCAATCTTACAGCAATGTTTATTTATATTTCAAGCATAACCTTTTTTTAAAAATAATGGTTGGCAGTGTAGTTTTGTATAGATTTAAAGACAATATAAAAGTAAAAGCACTAGCATAACCCAAGTCAAGTATAGTTAATATAGCATTACTCTTGATTTTTAATTTTTCTGTACATCTTCAATATGTATGGATATGTGTAAAATATTTTCACAAAATAATTCTGAATATTTCTTATGAAATCAGTGAAAAAAGTGGGTCAAATGTATTTCTTTGGCTTTAACAATCTGACACTATAAAGGCTTCAAACCTAGCACATTTGAATTGCTGAGTCCAGTGGATACTTCTCAGCTCTGACTTTCCTTGATTCCTCTGTTCTTCTGCCTTTCTTCTGTGACCTCCAAAATATTTTACCCTGTTTCTTTTCCTGTGTGTCTTATGATTTCTTCTTTGTTGTCTTTGCCTGTGCCTCTTCCTCAGCCCTGTGCCTGAAGGTTGGAATTGCTATGGTCTGTTCAAGCCACTCTTCTCCTTGCTTGGCACACCTCAAATAAGGAAAGGTAGTTTTTCTAAGCTACAAATGACAGAGTCATTTGCCAATCCCTCCTCACTAAATGTTGTTCTCTCCCCTACTTCCTACACCAAGTCAGTTTAGTTTGGGGGCATTTGAGTCTGGCTTAAATTTCTCTTCAGGGCAGCCCTTCTTATCATCTTTACTATCCCTGCCTTGGTCAGGGTCTGATCATTTCTTTTCTGAACAGTTTTGGTTAGCGAACATTAATTGAGAGTCAGGTACTATGCTGGGCACTAAGGATACAAAAATGATAGTAATAAGACTCACAGACAAACAAGTATATGCAATTAGGTTACTTAACACTTGTCTAATGGAAATTTGATCTCATGCTGAATATTTCATGAAGTGCACAGTAATACACAAGAGATGTGGACAATTTTGCATAAAGATGCAGTCTCAGCATCTAGTGCAGGATTGACTACTACAAGAACCAGCACAACATAGGCAGCAGTACCGCATGGAGGGCTGCCTTTAAGTTATTGTTCTCCCTGTGTCATATCAGCTTGTCTTGCTTTGGTGTTTGTGTTACTCTCTTCTCTCCAGTGATTCATAATCATTACTGGAAAGCTACCAAGAGTGCAGGACTGTATATACATAAATTTTCAATTTATGTGACATTATTTGTATAGAATATTCCTTAATGGAATGGGTGTATAAAACATTCATGTGAGAGGCACAAGTCATATGGAGCAGAGTAGAGTAATCCATTCTGAGGTAGGTTAGAGAAGATTTCATAAAAGCAATCTACTTGAGCAGGGACCTGAAGGGGATGGAAACAGAACAAGGAGGTCATGAAAGCGCCAAAGTACATGTCAATAGCTGTTAAGTTCTTAGATCTGAGATGTGCTAACAAGGATGACTTGTGCTAACAAGGCTGGAGGAAAGGAAGGCAGAGGGGTAGATAGAGGCTAGAATGATAATGTGTGCTATGTTGAGAAACATGGACAGTACAGAGCTGTTGAAGGATTTTAATCAGATTAGTGACATAGATTTATATTTTAGAAAGAAGTTCCTGAGTGATGGAAATCCTAACCTCAGTGAGCCCTGCCCTGCTTTCTGCATTCTCTTATCACCAAAGCAGCTTAAGTAAAACAAAGGCTGATCTTGTAAGTCCCAGCTCAATTCTTAAGATAACTCCCAGGTACCAAAGTTCAATTTTCTGCCATTACTTTGAGGAAACTTGCTGTTTCCTCTATCTAGAACACTTTTTCATCAGACACCCACATGGCTCATTACCTCATTTTATCTATGCTGTACTGAAACATCACATCAGAGACCTTCCCTGGCTATCAAAACCAGCACCTCTGTCACTCCTTAGTTCCTTACTTGCTTTATTTTCCTTTTTAGCACTTATTAGCCCAAAAGCTATTTGTTTATTTCTCTCTCCTCCAACTGCAATGTAAACTCCATGAGAAAGAAGTTCTTGTATGTTTTGTTAACCTCCCAGCATTCCCCACCTAGCACATGGTAGGTGTTCAGTAGTCACTGAAATTAATGTGGCCCTAACTGTCTTTCCTTTTCTGCTCTCTCTTTTGCCCTGTGCTTCACACTTCAAACAGGGTACTTGTCATAGTTTCGCATTCCCCAGTTATGCATCCTCATGAAATCCTATTCATCTGTCAGGATCCATCTCAGATGCCATCTTTTCTATAAAATCTTTTTTCAAGCAGTTGCTCCTTCTACTTAGCTCCCATAATGCTTTCTCAATATTTAGTACAAGAGTGTTTTCCTGGGCTGTCCAGGACATGATGAGTGCAAACAAATATTTGTTAACATGTTATTAATTAACAAGTAGAGATTTATATAAGGAGGTAGAGAAACATTATAGGTAAAAATTGAAATTCACTTGACTAATTGGAGAAATGCAGTGATTAGCTGTGACTTGAATTTGATTACAAATGCAATATGTTTAGGGGAGGATAGGGAAACAGTCACCAATTTCAATTATATGTGCAATTGTAACACATCGCCTGAGACAGTATCTGTTGACTTTATACACACACACACACCATTTAACCAATTTATCACCCTTTTTTTGTTGAAATAACATGAACTCTGATAGAGAAAAATAGACAAGTGCTGAAGAAATTACTTTCTAGGAACAGTGTAAACAGCATGTTAAAATTTCATACTTTCATCATTTTTATGCATAAAGTATTAGTTCTTCACATTTATCATTGAAAACATAAATTTTCTAGAAAGTTTTTTATTGAATCAAACTAATGGTACTATACCCAGGCCACTTTCCACTTCATAAGACAGTATAACTCCATTTGAATTGTCAAAAATGTCTTTGTTGTAAGAAAACTCTGGATACTTTTTTTTTTTTTTTTTGGCTAATGGAAAGGTATAGAGGAATAGTCTAAACATTACTTTGTTTGATTTTCCAGTTCAGCATGGGTGTCTGATAATCATTAAATTCACTTTTAAGTGATTAATTTCTTCTGTGAAATCCTGGCTAAGGCCTCTGTATGAAGTTATCTAATTTCTCATTTATAGCCTCACATTCCTCTTCTACCCAAAAATGTTTTCTCTTGTAGATGAAAATTATGCTAAATTGTTAGGGTTTCCTTGAACTTTCTAATTGAGACAAAGACTATGTAAGTGAATAAATAGAATTACTGCCTAGCCATGAAAGCAAAAGTCGCCATTAATTACAGTTAGCCTCTAATAATTGTCAACAACAAATATAAATAATGAAAGTCAAATTTATTCCTTTTTTAATATTTGAGGACTACATTGGATTGCTGGAGGATCATTTGCAGGTACCAGAAGGGTTTGGGGAAGTCATCCCTAATAGGATGAAAGTATATAAATACAGAAAGCTGGAGATGATGAAGATAAACTTTTCATGTAGGGTTGTTCCTATTTATCTACAACATAAATGATGCTTAGATGCTTCTTGTGAAAGATAGCAAAGGAAGCATGATTTTCATATAATTTATTGCAGACATCTCTTAGTTTTTTTGCCTTAGCAATGGTAACTGTGTTTGGGAGGGATGAGGGAATCCTAGATATGTTTATTGGGAATCACTATACTACAAATGAATGAAATAAAAGTAAGCATTTTCATAAGATGTATTTAGCATTTTCCTTTTTAATAAAACATTATGAAGAATTTTAACCCTTGTTTTTATTAAGAGATTACAGATTTTGGAAAGGTTTATATAAACTTGAAGTAGATCTTAATAGTTTGTTATATTAGAAATATTCAAGGAGATGTTATTATGCAATAGAAATTTTTACTTTCTGTATTTTAAAGGATTTTTACGGTATTTTGTTTGCTTTTAGAGTAAAGCCAATCCCTGCTGAAGGAGTCAAGTCAAATCCTTCCAAGCGACATAGAGACCGCCTTAATACAGAGTTGGACCGTTTGGCTAGCCTGCTACCTTTTCCACAAGATATTATAAATAAGCTGGACAAACTTTCAGTTCTTAGGCTCAGTGTCAGTTACCTGAGAGCCAAGAGCTTCTTTGATGGTAAGACAGAAGAATTTAATTTTTCTACAATAACTTTCAAAATACTTTTGTCTGTTTCTGTGTTAATAACTATAAAAATTAGCTAGATGTGAAAAACAGGTTTTTTTTTTATTGGTATATAGTAAAATTTTAAGTGGCAAAGCCAAATTTACAAGTACTAAAATCAGTTTGCCAGTTTCCTTCATCAGAAAAATGCAGCCATTTAAGAGATATATGATAGCATTCTGTGAAAATCATGTATTTAGAAGTTATGCTCAAATTGAGTATGTCCAATTTCAGTTCCCCTTCTTCCAATTCAGTTTTTTAACGTCTCTTTGTTTTTATAAAAAGAAGAAAACACATATTAACACTGTGATATATTACTGATGGATTTTCTGTGTTTTTATAGATATCCCATTTCATTTATCCTTTCAAAATTATGTATAATCCTTTATATTAATTGTATGTTTACTGTAGGAAAACATATCAATAATTAAAAGTTTTTTTCCACTGGAAAGAGCACTCCATTATATGAGTCAATAGAATTAAATCTCATTCTCCATTGTGTCACTGACAGACTTTGTGACTTTAAACCAGGTAACATCCTTGTACCTCAGTTTTTCCAGCTGTAAAGTTTTGGATTTTGATCTAGGTAGCTAGATGATATTTGCTCCATTTTAATCATAGAGTATTTCATCATCATATATTACTTTAAATAGTTTTTGTTTGAAAATAGTGTTTTCTCATGTAAAATCATTTCTTGGTTTCTCTTTTATCTGTTTATAAATAGATTGTTCAAGGAAATGGTCTTTTTAAAATGTCATTTTACTAATGGTTGTAAAGAAATTAATGATGAAATCTCAGTGGCTTATGTCAGTGCTTCTCAGACTTTAATTTGCTTACAAATTACACAGGGATCTTGTTAAGATACATATTTTTATTAGGTAGCTTTAAGTGTAGCCAGAGATTTTGCATTTCTAACAAGTTTTCAGATGCTGCTGATCCTGCTGGTCTAGATACTAGGAAGTACCTAGATAGCACATTTACAGATACTCGAATTTGTAATTTCTGTTTAAAATCTTGCAAAACAGTTAATTTCCCTTTAGGTCTATGTTTACATGTTTGATGTGTTTAGACTGAGCATCTATTTATTTGTTTGCTTGCTTGCCTTTATGTTCTTTTGAGCAGAAGCTATGTAGTTTAACAGTTATGGTCTGATTTAATGGTAGTGACTTCAGGAAAGAATATATATTTAAAAGTTTCACATTCGACACTTAAATTTTCTCTGATCTTTATTAAAAGACTTTTGAGTTTTCAGTTTTACCTTTACCATACTCTTCATCTTGGAGATGAGTTATGCAATATGTAGTGGTATGTCTGTGAGTATGTGTTTATCAGCCATGTAGTCATTTTGTGATATAGTTGAAACTAGAACCCAGGTTTCCATTCCTTATATTGTTTTTCTTGACCACATCTCAATTTTTCTTTTTTATGGGGACTGTTGTATAGGAAAGCGCTGAGGACATTTTCTGAGATCTCTGGTTCTTAAAAGTACAGTCTCCAGACAAGGAGCATCACTTGGGAACTTGTTAGAAATGCTAATTCTTGAACTCCACCTAGAATCTATGGTGATGGGGCCCCTAGTGTCAGGGCTAGATGCATGTTGAAGTTTGGGAGCCACTGCTGTAGATTGTAACTTCAGGCCCACTCTCAGCTTCATTGAACACTGCCCTGCTCCTTAGCATTTGTTCACATGCTGTGCTAACTGCTTGACTGTGTGGTGGCGGATTCTGTGACATATAAGATGTGGTCTCCACCCTTGGAGAATTTACTGTCTAGAAGCCAGAGAGGCATTTTCCCTTGACTCTGGTAAAGATTTATAGACTTGAGTCACTTTACCTTTTCATTTCCTGCTCCTTTGTAATGGGAAATCAAATTATAAACATTAAAAAGAGAAAAAAATATAGGTTGTCCCTATACTGTTTCGAAGGTAGTGGAACACAGCTGAAGCTGCATAGCATAGCCAGTGTGCCCTTTAAGTACTAACATAATTACCCTTTAGGCAGATGCATACACACACACACTTTATATATTTAATGTGTACATCATATATATATGTTATATACACACACAGATATGCATACATGATTAAACATGTGTCCGGTTATTCACTGCCTTAAGTAAAGGAGATTTCAAAGTCTATAAAGAATGTCGGTTTAACAGGGCTCATCATGGATTTCATACTTGTTAAAAAGTATTAGCTCTTCATTAATGAGTTTGTCTTTTATTCTGGTTCAGTATATTTGACAGTAGGATCTTTTTACCTATTTGTATCATTACTTTCATCATATACTTAATTTTAGATCCTTTACTGGTTTTCAAATTTCAGTGTGCATAAGAATTACCTGGAAAACTTATTAAAATGTACATTCTAGGGTATGCTGATTCAATAGGTTCTATGTAAAACATAGGAAATCAGTATTTTGAGAAACATATTTCTGAGTCTGATGTAGTGACTAGCCTGGCTTTGATTATGCCCTGAACTAGGTAAAAAAAATTATTTTCTTTGCCATCAGAAAGACAAATCCAAACATACAAAATTTTAAGAAGACTACAGATATGTTTGCTTGGGTTTTAGTGGTATGGGTACAGCCTAAGCAGTTTCTTAGGTGGTTCAATACAGAAACATAAGAGTTAGAAGGAAGGTGGGAATAATTGATTTAAAAAAAATCCCCAAGTCTTCTCCAGATCACCAGTGGTCTGGGAAGGCAATGCAACATTTCATAGCACACAGAAAACAGAATTTTAAGGGTAACTCTAATGAATTGAACAAATGCTAAATGCAAACGAAGAGACTTGAAGCATGCTGACTGATTAGGATTTTTGTGTGCAGTTAGACCCTCTCTCCCGCTATTAGGGAAACAGTATAGCAAAGGGAAGGGAAGCTCAAAGTGAATAACAGGATGCAAACAGGGGGTGTGTAAATTCCTGCGGAAAGAACAATATAAACGAGTAATCATACAATCTTGTTAGAAAGGAAACTCAAGTTTTACTGTAACAATAGATATTTTTCCAAGAAAATACATCTATTTATTGCAAGTTTAAATAATCCAACTTGGATGGATCTTCATAAACTTTGAAACCATGACTATACTACTATTACTGTCTGAAAAGCAATGCTATAAATTTTAAGTGCAACATTAATATTTATCCATTTCTAATTAGTAAAACATATATTTTTAAAGTATTTGAACAGACCTTAGTCGTTTTTTAGTTATGGTAAAGTTTGAAGCAATTTCTTTGACACTATTGGAGTATTAAGCTCAAATATCACATTATCTCTGAGAAGGAAAGTATATAAAAAATTTTGAATAACTTAATGCCTCTGATCAATAGTAGTTTATTAGTAGAGACTAGGATTTGGGTGGTTATAACCTAACCTTTGAAATCGGTTAATGTTAAGGGAAAGGATTGTTCCCTCCTGTATTGTGTCTTTTGAAGCTTGTTGACTAGTCTAATCAGTGTGGAAATGTTTTATTCTTAGAGTAATTTCAGCATATTATTAAAAAAATTTGAATTAGATTTCCTTATTACCATCTGAAATGCTCATTATCATGGAAGTATTGTGTTCCACTTTTTGATAGTAACCCCACAATTAAAAATTTAGGAATGACTAAGTTTTCAGTTTAGACACAAATATCTAATGAGATGAAGAAGGCAGAAAAATGTTTTCTTTCTGTGAGACAATAGAGGTTATATGTCATGTAGTATTTATTCAATAAAATATTTATACTAAATATAACACTATTTAAAATATCTTTATGAAACAGTTTACATTCTCTGTTGTATCTGAGTTGTGGGCTATTCCTTGTGACAGCTGTATAATTGAAATGTATAAATTTAATTTGTGGAAAAGAAGACTTAAGAAACAAGAAAAAGATGATTTTGACTAGGTTACCGTTAAACCTGACAAAACTCAGTTTGCAAATCTGAGTTTCTCATTCCAAAGTCCTGCGTGTGCAGCTGTTATAGGGAATAGTTTTCTGGTTATTTTAAAAGCTAAGGAATGTAGGGGAAAAATCTGAATCTTGAATCATTATGCATGCTTAATAATTACTATTTTATAAAGTGTAGAATATTTACATATTAGAACATTTTAAATTCACTAAATCTAAAAATGCTGTGGGAATAGAGGATGATAGTTTAATCTAACATTTATATGATCTCATTATCATGAAACTTTATTGACTTTATTTTGAGCTAGAATCACAAGTGTTTTTTTCTTGGTCTGTCTTTTGCAGATGCTTTAATAGTTCATTCTCAGTTCATTAGGTTTTCGAAAGAGAGCTATTGTGTTTATTTTCAGTCTGTGCATTTCTCTCAATTTGTCCTGTTTGAGTAACTCTTTAAACCAGAACATCAATCTTGAAAAACAAATATAGATATATTTATATGCCATGAACAAGCTTGAAGAAGCAGTAAAAATGAATTAAATAATAAAGCACTTTGAAGGGTTGATATTTTATAAAGTCTAATGTATTTGTATGTCTGCTTTGTCATTCATGAGAATTCTATAATTTTATCTGCTTTGCTATAATTTTAAATGACTATATGTCAACTAATTTAGCAAAATTTTAGTATCACAGCAAATGCAAATTCTTAATTCTAGGAATATCTAAAGTAGGTTTGTTTGCTTAACAGTTTAGCATATTTGAAACCACCAAAAAAATTACTCATTAAGTTTCATTTACCTATGGCATTATTCATCTTAGATTGAGATTTAACTATGTATATTTTTTCTCCAAATTCACATTCTAAAACATGTAACTCTAACATTCACGATAATTTTCATAGCTAAAACTATATAAATCTAGTGATTCTTTTAAACTTTTAATTTATGTAATAAAATCCATACGGATTTAATCTTTTTTTCTTTTTTTTCTTTTTTTTAGAATTACACAAACTTAGTTGATACATATTATTTAAACATGAATGAGTAAAAATATAGTAGAACATTCTTA